TCAAGAGCTTTCACGAAGTTGAAAGGGTCATCGGAGTTGTCGCCGGAGTACATCAAAGGTCGCCGGAGTTTCGCCGGAGTTCAACCAAGAGGGGTAGAACTTCATAGCGTTAATTCGAGGTGAGGATGACCGACTATATTGCTTATAACTGTTGGGTCAATTTCATAAGATTACCTAAATGAATTAAATGTGTTGGCATAGATTATTAATGATTAATAATGCCTAAATAAAATTACTATTGATTATAAGTAAAGAATGCATAATATACAAATTTAGGAATAAATTGTGTATGATTATGTGTTATAAATATGATGGCATGATGATTGCTCTCACCATAAAGTTTATTGTGATTAACGTACTTTTACTTCATGTAAAGAAGTCATGAAGGGATAAGGTGACATGTTGATATTAAAGACAACTTATACTTGGATGCGGAATTAAATTGAAATGAACAAGTAACTATGAATTAAGAATTTGGTTGTGCTAAGGTCAATTGACTAGTATTGAAATACTAGTCGGAAGGATAGTTAGAGTAATCGAAGAACTAATCCTAAGGTATTAAATTTGTGATGAGTATGCCCTAAGTGACTTTAAGGGGATAATTTAAGATGGACTTTATGAGCTCCAAGTAACATTAGGAGTAGGCCTAAGGGTTACTCAAAATGGATGGAGTCTAGACTAAGAAATTGTTTAGAGATTAAATAACGTGACTATGAGCCGAGCTCTAGCACGTGGTAGTGTGACTATGAGCCGAGCTTTAGCACAATGTAGTATGACTATGAGCCGAGCTCTAGCAAAACGTAGTATGACTATGAGCCGAGCTCTAGCAAAGTGTAGTGTGACTATGAGCTGAGCTCTAGCAAAAATGTAGAATGACTATGAGCCGAGCTCTAGCAAAATGTAGTATGACTATCACTACTACATTTAAAGGCCTTTTGTAACGGTCAAATCCGTTACCATTGATTCAAAAGTGTGTTACATTCTTCTAATTGTAACAGTTTTTGGCCGTTACATTCGCTCGCGTTACCTTTTCCCTATTGTAACGGTATGTAACGATTTTTAGAGTTAAATGTAACGCTGTTTGGATAAATCAAAAGTGTTACCATAAAGGCATAAACATTACCATAGGTGGATTACAAATGTAACGTTTTATAACTTGACCAATTGTAACATTTTTTTTTGAAAGTGCCAAATGTAACACTTCAGACAAATGATACAACTAATTCATTTAAAAACTGTAACGCATTGTTTTGCACATGAATTATATATAATAAAAAATATATATTCAGAGATATATACAAAACATTGATATTATTGTACAACTGAATCTACTATAATGTCTAAAGGATTTAACTTATTACTCGGACAAGCTTTGTCCAGATACAAAACAAAAAAATCCCTCAAGTCTTTACAGTCAAAGTGCCCACAAATGATTAAAATATCTCCCAATTCTGTTAGAACGTAACCCTAAGTTGTCCAAGGCTCCAAGTATGAGATCTATGTCATAAAGTTGAAACACAATTTGGAGAAGAAATCCATGGAGATCGAAGCATGAATCATCATCTGGTGTCACTCTTTCCTCTTCATGTGTATCATAGATCTGGATTACAAACATTTCGAAATATTAGCATCCATATTTCGATGCTTATAATGTTAGAGGCAAGTATGTTTTATATAAATTAATGATATAGATATACTTTATAAAAACAAACCAGTAGGCCTGCATGGTTGCAAGGATAAGTAAAGTAGATATAAATTAATGATAAGAAAATTAATGAACTTCTTTTATGGAAGTAATTCCCAGTAGAGATATAATTTTGAAAGCAAACCAGTTTAGTTAGAAGCTGTCAGCGTTTCACACCCAGTTCTGCTAGCAAATCATCCCAACACAAATACACTTAAGTTAGGCCTGCAATATTATGTAAAAAGGATTAATAATTTATGCTCAATTTATTCAAATAATATCAAGTACATAACTACTAGGTGCATCAAAGATGGAGAATACTCTAAAGGAAATAGTAATCGCAAAGAAGCAATAAATTGCAGTGTAAATCACGTAATTAGTCAAGTTTCAAATTAAGATTCATAAAAAGTGGTCTAATATCCAAATACTCAAATAAAATCATCTTTCATCGTAATCGTTGAATTGATTATGATGACCGAAGAGGAAAATGTGAAGTGAAAATGAAAAGGAAGAAGAGCTAATTACACTTATTGTCTTTTGCACCCCAATTATCTTCTGAAGCTGAGAGAATAGCTGATTTGAGTAAAAAGAAATAAAGTTCGGCAATTACTTTTGTTAACGATTAGGAGAGAAGAGTCAAATAGAATATCTTTCATTAAAAACATTCTAGCCATCTAGCAGATTTCAAAGTTCCTCATATCTATAGTTATTTCTAAGGGAAAGGGCCAAAAATGACACCAAAGTTTTTAATGAATCTCAAATAAGACATTCAGGTTTTTGGAGGACCAAATAAACACAAAATCTAACTTTTACACTAATTTTAAACCACCCATTAACTTTCCCCTTCTAACGCCCGTTACTCTTTTATAAACTCCTTTTCCTGCGCTGCGATTAACCATACCACCCCCAATTTATACATTCAACAACCCTAATTGGCCGCTAGATCTTGAAATCCCCTTCCATTCCTCTAGCCATCAGACTCCTCTCGACCTCTCCCCAAACCGCGCACCATTATCATCCCGACCTTTATGCACGGCGGCTGAGACCCGGACCCAGAAACTTGAGTGCATCGCCTACGAGCTTCTGGACCTCACCCACAGTGTTCTGCTCGGCCTAATCCAGCTCTGCTGAGCCCGCGGCGGCTGAAACCAAGGCTGCAGAGAAGACCATGTTCAATCTAAATTAAAGTTGGAGATGTTCCGCGCACACAGCGACTAAGATCAAGGTCATTAAGGAGATAAGAGCTTTTACAAGTTTGGGTTTAAAGGAAGCAAAGTAGCTGGTCGAGAAAGCTCCGGTTGTGGTGTAAAATGGGCTCAATAAACAAGAAGGTACTACCATTATCTACAAGCTACTGCCGTACCGGAATAACTCACCAATTGTATTCTTTTTTCTCTTTATTGTAGAAAAACTTTTACAGCTGCCGGAAAAATGGAATTTTTAATGTTTGCTTAGATGGGATTATTGATATCCCATCCCACAATTGTTGATAATGCTGATATATTTGATTGGTGTATTCACACACCATGAATTGCAGTATCATTTAGCTGGTCTAAATTGTTGTTTGGTTCATATTTTTTTGGAGTTGGAAGTACTACTTCGATTTGCAGCGCCCTGGCTTGGCCTAGCCGGCCTGCACATGCAAAGTATATAAAAGTGGACATGATTGATGATGGATGGCCGGATAAATGAGCGACAGGCATGGTGAATATACAAACCGGGCAGCTAATTAAGGAACTAAGTAACTAGCTAACTACCGATGGGTGATGGGTGATGACGACCCTGAGATCATCCTTCAAACAACCGAGGGGTTGTTTGGTTCATTTACTAGGCAACGGTGTTAGAGCAGACTGTTAGTGGGTGGTTAAAAATGAAGGTAAAAGTATAAAATTGGGTTTATTTGGTCCACTTAAAACGTAAGTGTCCTATCCGAGATTCATTAAAAACCTTAATGTCCTTTTTGGCCCTTATCCCGTTATTTCTATACTCCATACCTATAAGTTTGTACGTAAGTAAGTAACAAGTAATCCATAAATTTGCTTCAGTTTGGTTTCATTAACAAGTAGTTATATTATAGGGGGGGGGGGGGTTGTTTTAAACTCAAATTTCAAAATGCAGATTTAGCCATTCAAGAATTCTTTTGGAAATATTATTCATACGAATAAACTTTTGATCTGTAACTTCTATTATTATAATTTCCTTCACTGGAGAGTCTAGAATTATAGACTGTAGTTTAAATTGTCGTTTACTTGCCATGATGAGTAATTGTGGCAAATTTAAAACCTGGAGCGCTCAAAACTAGTTGGTGATATTTCATCTATACAATAGAGAGATACATTCAATTATACAGTCCAAGTTTCACTCCAAATGTTTGATTTATACTAATGGTACCTGGAAAATCAAGGTCCAATTTTGTACTTAAGTCACTTTGTCAAGGAAAAATGACCTGACTTGGTAAGGATTGAGGGGATTCAGAGGGGGGCAAACATCACAGGGAGGTCCTTTGTATCCACATCTAGGGCATCACCAAGCCATTCACCGTCATGTTCGTAGCGGTATTGGCTCACAGGGCATCACCTCTGTATCTACAATGCCATCTACAAGGAAACCAGTGGAGTTAATCAATTCTTTTAATTCAAGAAAACTAATGTAAAATTGTATCAAGAAAAATGCAATTTCTATCTTGGATAAGTACCAAGGAGTTAACACACATGTTGATAGTTACATTCATCATCCTCATCATCACTTGGTATGTACTCTTCATCTTCCTGTCCATAAGGTGCATCTCTAATTCGATTTGCAGCCACTTTCTCAAATATAATGTGCAATAATAATTCAGTTTATTATAAAGTAGAGTAACGTAGTGGCAAGGCATGTTAAATTACTCAAATTAGTCCTATTTTTGCTAGAAAACATCATTCAAAGCAATCATAAGCTCTGTAATTGTAAAATTACCTTTTTATTTAAACTGAAATACTAACTTCAAAAGAAGTAAAAGAAATAGGAACCTCAAAATAGATCAACAACACAGTCCTACCCCCACCCCCAGCTCCACACAGAAATGAAACCTCAAAATTAACAATGATTGTTAATGGAATATAAGTTTTTTTATTGTTACTTTTCTAAATGGAATGTAAGTTTTTTATCTTAATAATAAGCAACAACATTTTTGATAAAACAAACATTTCAAGTAGATCCTGAATGGGCCATTTAATCATACCAATAGTTACACAAACTTTTAAGAGAACACCACTGTCAGCAGAGTACATAGATCATCTAAGGGCAACTGATAAGATGCTTTCAAGTAAACTTTCTTCGGCATTTCAGATGTTCAATACAGCACATATATTTCCAGGTTTATTTAGACCTCCACAACAAGAACAGGTCCTTCACGGGCAATTTAAGATACATAGACTAGGGATCTCCCCCGAGCTCCACTCTCAGGTTGTCATACGGGTAAACCTTTGGTGTAAATGGGATTTTAGCAGCTTTATCATTCCAGACAGCTAATAGTCCTAGCACTGCAAAACATCCCAATCCACCGTACAACCAGGCCAATGGTACATACTCCCCGATGGTATCAGCAATACGATCAATACAGGGTTCTGGGAATGGAGTCCCATTGTCCCACACAAGCTCATCATTCACTGGGACTGGTTTATCGGGAACGAGATGCTTGCCGACAGGGAGGCCCATTCTGAAGCGAGTATGAAGGGAATAGGTAACAGATCGCGCGCCGCCGCCTCTCCTTCCCATGAGGTAAGCTACAGTTTGACTCAACCTTCTGGCCATTTACGATTGCAGGATTTCCCAGGGCCAGGATTTATATTCCTATATCAGATATGGAAAACTAGAAAAATCTGAGGCGATGACTCTCCCAGTCTCCTCAATTGTACTGCCTTCCCTATCTTTATTTGAAATGAGATGTAAGATTCTTCAACTAAAAAGCTAGAGTAACATACCTCTGAAATTAAACTTCAAAATTTATCCAGGAATCATAATAGCAGAATAACATCCGAGGATTGGAGCTTCAACTCTTTTGGCTCAACAAGAACAATATGAATCAAATTGAAAACCTCAAGCTACGCAAACCAGTTAATGAAAATTGAAATTTCATGAACATAAGAGAAATATGTCTGCATCAAGTCAAATTATATAGAACTTTAACTAATAATTAAATTAAGCATACTATTACCAAGAGAACAAGATAAGCAAAAACACCAGATAGCCAGTGAAGGCGGAATCGATGACATCCATGGGAGATAAGCAAAAACACCATAAGCAAAAACGACAACATTAAGAATTGAAAAACTTACTCTTAAACGCCTCACGTCACTTTAAGACTACACTCACGACATCCATGGGAGGGCGGAATAGAGCTGCTCTGGGAAGGAAGGGTTTCGTTACACGGATGCGAAGAAATCAGGCGAGGATGGTTTATCGAGAACAACCAGAGAAATTAGGCGAAGACTTTTTTAGGGTTTTAGTTTTTCTTCAATCGCAGAAGAATTCCGGGTTCCCCTGTACCTTAGTAGTTAGGGCGGCAATTTTTATTAAGTAAAAGTCTAGATCTGGCACAAATTATTATTTTGGGGCGCGTTTCATTTCCCTCTGCGGATGTAGTATACGTTCGAAAGTGTTACATTAGAATTAACTAAATGTAACACTTATTAAAATAAGGTAACAGTCTATATAGCATACAAAAGTGTTACATTAAAATCACATTTAATGTAACATTTTCTAAACTAATGTAACAATGTATTAACAACCATTGCAATAGACCGGTTTTAGGTAACAGTTTTAATAACCGTTACAATTTTATTGTTACATTAGGCCTTAAAATGTAGTAGTGTATGAGCCGAGCTCTAGCACAAATTAGTATGACTATGAGTCGAGCTCTAGCATGAAGGAATGTGGGTTAACTATAAATTAATAACATCCTAGATTGAGGGTCTTGGAAATTGAAACTTTGATTATACTTAGTATAATTGTCATTTTACTTGTCAATTGTTTCCAAGTAGTGACATCCCCTTCACGGGGGAGGCCACCTCACAGTTTCAGGGAGGACTTGAAGGTTGATCATGATCTTTGTTCTCATGTATATAATCTAACACTTATGCGAATCTAATATTATACTTTTAAAATATGCATTAATATGATATTTTAAAATGAGTATAAAACCAGTATCAAATGAACATACATAGCTTACAAAATGAGCATAAAAATTTTCTAAAATTCATTTGAATTCTCTAATGTGTTCAAATGTTCATCTATGCACGTATAATGACACATATAGTAATTAAAAAAATGTAATTTTATATTGAAAATAATTTATAATCTTTAGTTCTCAAATTTAAAATATAATCAAATTCATTTTATAATGTTTACTCATGCATATCTATTTTACAATATATCCATTTTAGTGTAACACAAAACACATGTTAGTAATTAACACACAATATTTAATAAACTAATAAATGTTGATCTTAAATTTGAAAGAAAAATAAAAATATTAATACATAATATTTTATAATACACGAATAAAAGAAACATAAGTTAGAAGTTTGATTTGATTAATAAAATAAACTTGGATGGATATTTAATAATATTTTTGTATATTATAAATTTTCATAATGATTGAATATAAAGTTAATGTAAAAGATTGTTAAAGAAAAAAAACATAAAGAAAGGAGCTGAGAACAAAGAATAAAGAAAACAATGGAGAACAAACAATAAAACAAAACAAAAAAACAAATAAAGAAAGTGGAACGAAAAAATGATGCGTGCAACCTTTCAACGCAGGACGGTGGAAACCATTCAATGCAGGAGTGATGTGCAACGAAAAAAATCAAACCGTCAACGCAGGACCGAAAGAGTCCAGCGGCGAAATAAAGTGGAAGACTAACCTAACTATTACCCTCAAAGATGGAACAAATTACAAAGTCCGGAAAATACATTTTCCGTACCAGTTAACTTGCAAAAATCATTTGACGACCTTCCCGATTGAATTGTTTGCTGAAATTTGGTATGGATGAACTAGCCTTGATGAGGAACATACACAAAAAAGTTGAGCAAAAAATACCACCGGGGAGTCCCCCAATGGAGGAGGCCGGACGGGACTCCGGTCAGGAATTCCCTGACAGAAATAGCTCTCTCCAAATAGTTCTAAAACGAGTTGTATCCCACATTCCCACTCAAATATACATCTTCAAGTGAATCGGAAATATTTTTAAGAACAAACTCTAGACAGATTATATGCGGGCGGGATCATTACCTTTACCCTATACTTATGTGGAACATGGACCAGATAATCCTCATTTAATTTGGAAATGTTTCAACTAATTTGAAAGAGCAGCCTACTGCCATTTCAGAGCAAGATTTGGAGCAGAACAAAACCACAAGCAAGCTAAAGACGATTCCTAATCATCAACTGAGACATGATCAAGATGTAACACCCCCTACTCGGCCCGGAAGGCTGGGGCAGGGAGCGCTACCCGCAGTGCTGGAGCACCAAAGCGCTAATTAACTATTTCTTTATTACTTATACTTTTAGCTAATTTTAACTGAGAATAATAACATATTTTATCCAAAGTCGGCATAAATTGCGGAAGCATAATTATTACACATCAAGTAGTTCTAGATTTTGGAATAAACAAATCCATCCATGAAAATTTATCATTCTCATGTTTATTTATTTCACACTAATATGCCAAATAAGCACTTATCATGCAAATTAGAGATGAATTACTACTACTTGTGCAAATGTGACTCTCGGACGAGTGGCTGCTTCTCCCCCAAATGCTCCTCGATTTGAATTCCGGCTTGCAACGCTTATAGACCTACGCAAAAGACAAAAATCCAACGCGCTAAGCAAATCTTGCTTAGTGGTATACTGGTGTTCATTCTTTCTCATATAAAAATTTGTCACATTAAACCAATATAATTTGTAACAATATAATACCAAACAGCTTATAAATCAGGGTTTGAAAATACAATTTTCTTCATAGATAATGTAGCTTAACAATAAATTATCAAAATGATAACATTATTCGTTCAAAGTAACAACAACACTATTGGTGTCTCAAATTAAAATCTACTTCGTACTTTTTATGCTTTTAGCATTTTTTTTCACTTTTCAATGTACTATTCCGATTTTCTCAACTTGCATTTCCAAATCAAATTTCTTTACATTTCTTATTTTCAGGAATTTTACTCCTTAGTTTAATGGATTGGATAAATGGGACATTTCTCATTTGGTACTGTTCACTCCGTGGCTGTGGACCCTAAACGATCGAGTTTCAAAATTTGGGTAATGTACACTCCGTGGCTGCAGACCCTAAACAAACGAGTTTCAAAATTTGGGTAGTGTCCACTCCGTGACTGCGGACCCTAAACGACCGAGTTTCAAAATTTGGGTAGTCCACTCCGTGGCTGTGGACCTGTAATTAATAGATTAAATTCTACGACTGTATTAACATCCCTATTGGCATGCCAACCTATCCAATCTCAAACAAAGTTTCAAGTTTTTTTATCCATTTACATGAAGTCTGTATCATTAATATTTTATAACTATTATTTTCCATTTCAAAATACAAATTATAACATAATGATATATATTTCAGATTGCGATTATGAAAAAGCTCTCGTACTTACTCATATATTTAAGTAATTTCAAATATAGATTTCCATATGTATGATATTCATTATTAAATTGACTTTATTATTATGAAAAAGCTCTTGTACTTACTCATATATTTAAGTAATTTTAAAAATAGATTTCCATATGTATGATATTTATTTTGTACTGTATGATACTCCGTATATATTAATTTTCTTTAGCGTCTCTTTTTCATAAAAATGACTAAAGAAAATTAAAGTAAAACAAGCGTCCACCCGCTCCAAGCGACAACAACCCAATCAGACAATCAACCTTAATCTGTTTTGGCAAGTGTTAAGAGAAATCCAAACACCCGTATTTAAATATGTATAGCTCAACTTATTATTCTATCCGTTCTATTTTACATGTCCTAATTTTCTCTTTGGATTGCGTCAATATAAGTATTACATTTCCTGGTTTGGAAAGAAAACAAATGAGTCAAATTTCAACCGTAACTTCCGTTAGAGTGTGACAGGTAAAGTGGGAGGAGGTACTGCTCTATTTTTTTTAATTAATGCCGCCATGAATAAAAGTAAACGTTGAACAGTGGCCGCAGGCGGGGACAGAGAGGCGGCTAGAGTCAAACTCTTGTTTCTACACCTACCACAGCCTCGGAACACCTACCTCTCAGAGAGACGCCTATTTTAATTTGGCTCCAGACCGGACTTTTAACTCTTCGCTTCAGCTTCAAGGGAATCGCTCTCCAGCCTGCAACCACGCAGAGACACCCCGCCTCTAGCCTCCAGGACCACGACCGCACCGCCCATCCGCAGTCCGCACGACGCCCTGCCCTACCAGTAAGGCAGTCCACTGATCCGCACTAACCGGTAAGCAACTAGGCACTATACGTTTCTGATTTTTTTTATTCTTTGATTTGCAAACAGGGCCGATTCTTTGATTCTTTGATTTGATTCTTTGATTTTAGTTTGTTGCCTAAATGCTACTTGCCTTGTTGTTGTTTGTTTATTTATTGCAGTAATTTATTACTTATTAAGTAATTGGATTGAGAATAAGTGTGTTTAACAATGATTCGAAGTGTAGTATTTGAATACTAATTTGGATTAAGATTTAGGAAATTGATATAAATACGTTATTAAGTAAACACTAATTTCTAACTTTAGGTTTATAAATAAATTATAATTATTTCGTGATTTCACCGAAGTGTAGTATTTGAAACACTCCAAGAGATTGAAATTGCAAGTGTGGTAGATGACTTTGTCTCTCAATACGCTAGAAGAATCTCTTTTTAAATGAAAGATATTTTTTTAATGACTACTTTTACTTATATTATTACATTCATTAGTAACTTGTATTTTAATACAAATTACTTGTGTTGGAACATGGAAAAAAGGCCCATTTTTTTGTTGCTCAGGGTCCCTATTTCTCAGGACCGGCTGTGTTTATTGTTTATCAATAAAAAGGTTGAATTCAGATTAATTTTCAGAGTTTAGATTTACATTAACCTTTTTCCATGAATATTACTCAAATTAAATTCAAAAAACAAAAATATGACTTATTTTAAAATTTTACAAAAAAGTTATTTATTTAGTGACTACTTCCGAGTGATTCATTATCTACTGGTGTCTTATCCCTCTGAAATACAGTAACTCTTGTCTAGTTACTCGTTCACAGCGACTTATCATATTTTTGTCTGAAAACATAACTAGTCATATTTTTCTTCGGGGAAACTCGTTAGTTATATACATGTCATTTTTTCATTCACATCCCATGTTAAAGCATTGCTCTATTGGTGTTTGATTTCAATTTAATTTTAAGTTTCTATATTAGCTTTTCTATTACTATTAAATTTCATGTTTCAGGATTTATGTTTATTTTTGTTGTTAACTTCTGTTTTCAAATGACTTTAAGTATCAGATTTTATTGTTTAGTCATTTAGGTTATTGTTATCCTTCTCATTGAAATTTCAATTTTCAGATTATTGTTACTTTATTGTTTTGAATTTTGATTAATTATTTAGTTTTTTTTAGAGTTTTGAAATTGAGAATGAGTATATGTACAAGATTGAGTACAAGGATTTAATTGATGCCTTCGCTTCAAAGATGGTCAGGAGGAGAGCCTAATTCAAGTGATACCTTAATATTTATGTGGGGTTATTTTTAAGATCATGTCTTTTTTATATGAGCAGTTGAACACAATTACATTTTGTTGAGCTTTGTGAGCTTTTTATTATAAATAATGAAACTCTATTTTTATTTATAATGGGGGGCCTTATTTTGGTATTTAGAACAAGGTCTTTCAAATTTATTAAATTACCATGGTTGGCTCTGCCTCTGCCTATTCAAGTTCTTCAGCTAATTATTTGATAACATTTCTTCAATAGTCTCTCAAGTTGGGAATAAAGCACACCTTATGCTGATGGCGTCTCATTCTCTGCATCTATACCTGTCCTCTTCATCATCACCTAAAGTTGATTACAGGCTCACTTCCACTCTCTCAGATTTTAAGAGCTTCGGATCACAACTCTCTTTTTCCTCCCAGATCCGCTCTCTTACCCTAAGGTAAATCTTGTCCATTTTCCTTATTATTTGTAATTCTTTTACTTGCGCCATCTTTTCCCAACATTGGGGGCTGTAGACTAATCATGGGTTCATTTCAACAACAACACCATCCAAACCTTATTCCCAAAAGATTTTTAGTGTCGACTAACATGAATCAATCCATGATATCAGAGTTAAGAAAAGAAAAGAAAAATAAAGAGAATAGGCAAGATAAAAAGGATAAGATAAAGATAAATATAAGATAAAACAACATAAGAAAGATAAAAGACAAAATAACATAAGAACATAAGAAAGACAAAAAAGATAAAAAGAAAAACAGAAAAGAGACAAAAGAAATTAATCATGGGTTCACTTACCCTAGGAAAGAGGGCAAGGTAAGGATTTGGAGTCCATTTGGAAGCTAGTTTTAGCTAATTCTTTTAAGCCTGCTAATTATCCTCAAAATACACACAAGTAGGTATTCACTTCCATATTTTGCTGAAATGAATAATACCCAACACTTCCTATTTCTTAAAAGTCTTCAGATTTAACCATTTTTACGAAATAACCCTTGTGAAACAGGCCCTTAATTCTGTCTCAATTGGAAACTATGGCGATTTAAAGTTCTCAAAGAATGTACTTTTGTTAATTGGATTTGCACATTTGGTACTAATATGGTGTGAACATCTACCAAACTTAATAGTTTCTTTGAAACCTGAAATTTATCTTAGGTCTAAAGAATACCTATGTGCTTACAGTTTTTTTTAGTACCCCTGTCCCCCTAAGATTGGGACAAGAGGGTGTGGTGCAGTTTTTAAGAAAAGTGGAATTGTGTGGTTGGTATTGAATTGGTATAGTGTGAATAAAGCATGATTGATTTGTACCGCTCAAACATTACCAAATATGGTATGAGACAAGCTTAATGAGACAGACGAAAAGGTAAAACGGGATAACATTAGGGGGATGGAGGGAGTTAAGTTGTATAATATAAATATAAAAACAAGCTATGACAAGTGTGTGAGAACATCTCAAACTTGCCAAACTATGTTTACATGTTTGATTATGAATTTACTCAATTTAGAGAAAAATGTTGGCCTAAGAAACATATCGGCTAGGCAGTGGCCATAGGTCCTAGAGTAATACAAATCTCACATGTCCAGTAGTGCGGGCATATGTGGCATAGATCATTCTCAAGAAAGAATGATCATAACTCATAAGAGTAACAATGAAGAAAATATTTATTTAGAAATGCGAAGTTGGAATTTCGGATTCATACTCGAAGTAAGGTACCTAGATAGTGAGAAACTGCAGGTGTTAATCCATAACAAATAAGACTAAAAGTAACTAATCTATGCATTAGGGCTAAAATCACGGGTTTCGTGACTTTTGTCAAATTTCTTTTGGTTTTCATTTGGCTCAATCAATGTATGCTGCTGTGTGGCCCATTTGATCATTCAAAAACAATTATCTTTCTACCTGAGAGTAATGACATCCTGTAAAGGTAATGTGAGTTTAAGTTAGTCCCTCAAGCATATGGAAAAATGGCGCACAATTCACATAATATGAAAACATGAGAGAATATTAAATCTATCCTTTATTTTCCCTCTTTCCTTCCCAACGTTATCCTTGTGTTTTCCAGATCCAAAGGGGATAAACCTTTCCAATTTTACATTTATCCACCGTTTATAGATAATTCACTTGTTCAATCAAACATGAGCTTCAGTGATTGTCAATTAGAGCTTCAACTGTTCAATTGAACTCCCAACTGGGCTATTGATAGCCAAACAGTGAGGCTTAGTAAATTGAACATATTTATCTCATTGATTTATTGGTGGTGGTCAAGTGGCCAAACAACATTTTTGTGACTATTTCAACCAAAACTCATAATATGTGGCTATTGATACCCAAACAGTGAGGCTTAGTAAATTGAACATATTTCTGTTTATTGGTTTATTGGTTGTGGTCAAGTGGTCAACCAACATTTCTGTTTGTGATTTCAACTAAAAAACATAAAATGTGGTTGGACTAAATATCTATAGTTTATTTTTATATTTCAACTCCTCAACAAGCCTTTGTGTCATATCACGTGTTAAAATTGAACATTTCATTCATTTACTAAACAATCAAACATAAAAATAAATATTAATACGGAGGGATGTAAAGCTTTGAAATATGACCTTTGGGTTCACTCTAATACAGTACCATATTGAATGATGTGATCCGTCTCGGCTAAAATCTTAAGTTCTTTATTTATAATTATTACTCATATGTCATAATTTGGTTCAAGATGCTAATTTTCATGTTGGCCTCCTGTCTAGGTCATTGCATCCAATGAATCATTTGTTATCAAGCAGAGTAAATTTGGCTGCCATAGCTTGCAGCAGTGTGGAGGTTGATATCTCTCTGAGTCCAAGAGTGAATTCGGTGAAGCCCTCAAAAACTGTGGCTATAACTGATCAAGCAACTGCTCTAGTTCAAGCTGGAGTGCCTGTTATTAGATTGGCTGCTGGGGAACCTGATTTTGATACTCCTGCTTCTATAGCTGAGGTATTACACTATTGACATTGCTTGATAACATCATTTTTTTAAAAAAAATCTTGCATAATGTGATGATCAACCACATTTTCATTGTCTAGTAGATTTGGGTTTGACTGTTTGAGTGTAGTATCCCACATTTTCTACTGGTGCCGTAAACCTCAAATCTTGTTGATTGTTTTGGGGTCAACAAAGACCATTTTAATATGGTATCAAAGTGTAGTCAGATGGTGGTTTTGTGTGCAACATGTTAGGGATTGGTTTTGACCCATTTGTTTGCCTATCACTAGTCAAACCCGGCTTGGATTGACGGTTGTCTTAAGTGTCCTACATTAGTTGTGTAATGAGTTTCAGTTTATTACTTTCTCAGTCCCATTTTGTAAGATACCTTTCCCATTCACTTGGTCAACACAAATCACTCTTAATCTCTTACTTTATATATCAAAATTTTATGAAATTTGAATTATTTTTTGCAGGTTTTGTAGCGATTTTAATGTAGTTTCTAAATATGTAAATTTTATTTTCTAAAACTAATTTGAGTGTTGACAGGGATTAATTTGCTTTATCGTCGGTCAAACATCGTAAACCGTAAAGTGTGTTATAATTTGGGACGGAGGGAGTATATAAGTTTGACCTACTTTACCGTCTTAATATACAATCTTTTTAGGGTAAGTTATATGCCCAATTTACGTTGTTGACCATTTTATCTTGTGCAATTAGGCTGGTATTAATGCGATTCGTGATGGATACACTAGGTATACACCAAATGCAGGAACTTCTGAACTTCGTTCTGCTATTTGTCATAAGTTAAAGGGTAATTTTAAGATCCCTTATTCTTTTTTCCTTGATCAGAGCAATACTTTTATTTATTTCTCCCCCTTCAATTTCTTGATAATTTTCTTTAATGTAGAGGAGAATGGGCTATCTTTTACCCCTGATCAGATTTTGGTAAGCAACGGGGCTAAACAAAGTATTATTCAGGCAGTCTTGGCAATATGTTCTCCAGGAGATGAGGTTTATCTTTTACCTCTGATCACATTAAACGCTTGTTGATTCTTTTCTTTTTGTGAAGGAAAAAGAAGTTTATTTATTCATTGGTAGGTCAAACCCTCAGTTATTTTTATTCTGTTTACTTTCTAAAAAGAGTTTTGTTTTTTAAATTGTACAGGTTATCATTCCAGCACCGTACTGGGTTAGTTACCCGGAAATGGCAAGGTTGGCTGATGCTAACCCTGTGATCATTCCTACCAAGATATCCGACAATTTCATAATGGATCCGAAGCTTCTGGAGTCTAAGCTGACTGAGAAGTCAAGGCTATTGATTCTTTGCTCTCCATCCAACCCAACTGGATCTGTCTATCCAAGGGAAGTGCTCGAAGACATTGCTGCTATTGTAGCAAGACATCCAAGGCTGTTGGTAACACTCTCCCCTCATCTTCAACATGCTGATATGAAATTTGTACATTATTATAATACTAACAATTCCCTCTCTTCTCTCCCCCAGGTGCTTTCTGATGAAATTTATGAGCATATTATTTATTCACCAGCAACTCATACAAGCTTTGCATCTTTGCCAGGAATGTATGAGAGGACTCTCACCGTAAATGGATTTTCTAAGGTGATTCTTTGTGTGTGTGTTGCAATGTGTGAGCATGTGTGTGTGTGTGTCGGCTTGTCAGGGATATCTAAGGGGAAACACTAGGCCCACCCCAAGATTTGTAAAAACATTATGTGTAAAAATTTATATGAATGAATTATTTTTTTGCCCATACCAAATTATAAAATTTTGGTCCAGAATTATGCTATTAACTGAGTGTTTAGGAATTGCTTATGTGTGTGGATTGCTGTTATAGGCCTTTGCAATGACTGGTTGGAGACTGGGTTATCTTGCTGGCCCTAAACATTTTGTTGCTGCGTGCAATAAGATCCAGAGCCAGGTATGCTTGAATCATGAATTTTATAAGAGTCTATATAAACAGATTTGATAGATTTTTAGTCTAACCAGCTTCAGTTTTTTTTCTGCTATTATTTAAATTATAATAGTCCACTTCCGGTGCCAGCAGTGTTTCACAAAAGGCTGGTCTTGCTGCCTTGGGGCTGGGCTATGCTGGTGGAGGAGAAGTTGCAGCTATGGTAAAAGCTTTCCGTGAACGACGCGATTTTCTTGTTACAAGCTTTCGGGAAATAGATGGTGTTAAGATTTCAGAACCTCAGGTAACTGAACGCATTAATAGCTCTATGTGTCTTCCTAGAAACTCTACCTTGAGTTCATTTTTGATATCATGTATGTCCCAAGTCGGAATAAAGGAGAGTGTTGTGGCAGGCGCGTGATGGCTGATAGTATCACTTAGTCACATGACATGACATGAATTGAAATATGAATGTCTTCAACAAATGAGGAGAGATGCGCTGCGTTGAATGTGTGGACATACGAGATAAGACCGCTCGAAGAATGAGACAATCAGATAAAATGAGAGAGTAGCACCTATTGAAGATAAGATGTGAGAATCTCGTTTGGTCATGTGCGTAGAAGATCGAGAGATGCATTTGTTAGACTAGTTGAGAGGTGGGGAGAAGAGGTGAGCAGGAGAGGGAGAGAAAGGTCCAAACAGACATAGATCAGAGGAGTCAGTGATATGCATCTTCTTGAATTGGATGAGAGTATGACTCTGAAGATAGCAAAGTGGAGGGAGGATATTCATATGGAGAATTCATCTCTTTTCATCTTTCATCTTTTAATCCGTTTATCTTCTATATCTTTCTTATGTTCTTTGTCCTTTTATCCTTTTTATCTTATTTTTTATCCTTTTTGTCTTATCATTTTTATATTGATCTTATATTTATCTTTATTTTATCTTTGTCCTATCTTTTTAGCTCCGATATCATGTGTGGATTCATGTTAGCTGACTCCAAACTCTTTTGGGACTAGGGCTTGCATGTTGTTGCATGAGTCTTCTTACTCTTGTCAACGGTTAAGTAGGAAAAGTAAATGAGCCTGTCTTTGTTTGATGTGTAAAGCTTAATATGATCCACAAGATAATGACTTATTCGAGCACACGAGTATTGAAACTCATGAGCTCATTTTTTAGGTCATTACTATTTACTAGGACCGAATTGCTCGATGGAAGATAAAACTATATTGAGATACAAAATTCAATTCTCACGAGTCTAACTTGTTAAAACGTCGATAAAATATGAAAATACAAGGTTGTGAGGTACTTCTAACATTTTAGGATGAAATCATAGTTGTAGGTGATGGCGACTAGTCGTCCTGGTAGAGGAGTGGCTTCATGCTCACTAGACTCGCCTGAAGCGCCAATGTGCAACTTGGCGTCGATTAGGCGTCCAATTGCCTTCCGCAAGTTGTCATGGCGACACCAATCTGACCCGCAATATTAGGTTTTAGGAGATAGTGAGTTATAAACATTAAGTCAGAACCCTAGGCCCTTGAACAGTCCATCTCGTAGGTCTGGTAGGTTACCATAGTAGGATGCAGCCTCAGGTCGTCGTTGAATGTCTCAACTGCTACTCCATCCGGCCTCCATCTACTCTAGATCCCAGGTTTTTTAACTTCACGATTTGTTCAGCCTTTGCTTTTGGATTTATTTGCTTTTGTAGACAGCTGGAGTGCTGGACTTCATCTTATTTTTTAAAATACTAGTTATTGTTTATATTATGAACTGTTTTCTGTATATTTTTCTTTTTTTACTCTTCTTTTTATTAGTTGTATAGCTTGAGATAGCCTGGAGTCCATTTGTCAAATCTTTCAATCTGTGTACAGCTGAAGTTTTACCCATTTTATTTTGTTTATTTGTGAAAAATTATACTACCTCCGTCCCACTAATATTGGGACGGAAGGTGATGTCACAGTTATTAAGAAAAGTGAGTTCATGTGGTTGATATTAATTGATAAAGTAGGAATAAAGTAAGAATGATTTAGAGCCACACAAATTTTCCCAAATTTGATATGAGACAATTTTAGTGGGATTTCCTGAAAAGGTAAAATGGGACAATATTAGCGGGCCGGAGGGAGTACATTTTATTGAACATCTGTTCTAGATAAATACCCTATTTTATTTTTCATATATATATTTTTAGTGTATTCTCTAATATAATATTCCCTCCGTATTTCAAAGTTCTCTGCATTAGGTTTGGGCACAACATTTAAGAAGGAAATAATATGGGTAATGAATAGTGTAGAAAAGTAGGAGGAAAGGTTGAAAAGTATGAAAGAGAAGATAAAAAGTAGAAAAGTAAGGGTAATTGAGTATTTTTAAAGGAAAAAACTTACCAAAAAGGGAAAGTGTAGCAAACTTTTAAATACATCCAAAAAAGGAATGTGTAGCAAACTTTAAATTACAGAGGGAGTACGTAGTATATTATTATAATACTCCTTCCGTCCCCCTTATATTGTCCTATTTTACCTTTTCGGGAAGTTCTACTAAAATTGTCCCATACCATATTTGGTAAAGTTTGTGTGGCTCAAAATCATTCTTACTTTATTCTTACTTTATCAATTAATATCAACCACACAAACTCATATTTCTTAAAAATCGTGCCACCCTCTTCCGTCCCAATATAAAAGGGACGGAGGGAGTATCAATTTTAATATTACATATGGCACAATTTGTGTCCAAGGTGGGTACCTAGATGCCTAGGCGATAAGGAGGTCAGATGGCAACACACCTTGCCTAGCCGCAGTGATAACCTTGGATGAAACACCTGTCTTAATATAACCTTTTATGATGAGATACCCAAAAACCTATTGGTCTAATGATTTAATCACATACCTCTTTCTTTCTTTGTTTTTCATTACTTCTTTTTCCTTTGACTATTCACCATTGTTTTAACTTGGTTTTCTGGTTGCAGGGAGCCTTCTATCTGTTTATTGACTTGAGCAGTTACTATGGAAGAGAAGTTGCTGGATTTGGTGTCATTAAGGACTCAGAATCCTTATGTCGGTATCTATTGGATAAAGCTCAAGTAAGTGTGTAGCTTTAGTGTTCATTAGTTATCTGTTTAATTATCCCGGTCCAACATTTACTACCGTCGTATGGTAGGTCATGACCTCCCACAGAGTGCCTAATACTGCCTTTTTTAATGCAACTATATGATTATATAAAAAAAAACTGGGTATTGTGTATCAATTCGTGCAAAGAAGCCGTCTACACATTACTCTTTGATGTAGAAGAAGACCTCACACTCCTGAGGATGCTTGCTGCTTTCGTTCCCATATGCATGCATGATCTTCGACTGCACTTGTCAAACATAACTAACAAACCTCATCATACTGGAGGGTCGTACAGATTTATCAGGCGAGGTAATCATATATATTTAATCAGAACTGCTTGAGCCATTGTCGTCATCCTTGTGAGCTGTCGTGCCATTGGCAGCCACAACATCTAGCTTTCCACCCTCCTTTGTGTCTTGTTTAGTGCTGTCTTCTTCTTCATCTTCACTATACTCACTCTCACAGTCATCATATCCACTGTCCTCATCCGCCTCCTCTTCAATCCCTTCTTCAACGGCAGCAGCTTGAGTGGTCTCGTCCGCACCACCAATACCCCTGGTCCTGGCCCTGCTGCATTTCAGAACCTTCAGTTTCAAGTTTGTCTTTGCATCACAATCGAGCCAAGCATCACACAAGCAGAAAGAGGTCAAGTTGTAGTTCCCCTCCTGTGGGGCCTGGAACTTCCCCATCACAAGCCTTGACCCATTTTTTACTTTCTCGATTGCTTCTCTGATCGCTCCATTTATTTCCCTGGCAGTGGCCCCGCTTTCGACTCTTGGATCGCTTTTGAGGCGGCAGTCAGCAGTGGATTCATCCATGAGGCTCACCTTCTGGGATAGCCATACGTCGTTCGAAATAGGGTCGGCCAGCAGCAACCAGAAGTTCTCCTCTTTGTCGAAGGGGAAGTGGGGTGAGTGTGGGAGTGCACGGATCAAACCATTCGGACGCTTCAGAGTGACCCAAGCATGCATGGTCACAATGTCACCCTCTTGAATTCCCTCTTCCCCTTCTGTTTCGCATGAGATGTCAATTGATATTGAAGGTATCATCTCCAGAACCATCTCCATGTCTTGGGAGTCGGCATCAGAGAATCCAGCAACCTGGGTCAAAAGGTCAATACGCTCTTGCCCTGTCATCTCTACAAAGTCTTGAAATGTGCGCACTTTCTTGCAATCTTCTTTACAACAGCCTCACTGAAGTGTGGTGGCTGTAGAAAAGGACCATATCCTTCACTAGATCCACCTGTGACTTTCCTTGCACTAAGTTGAACCGCGGCAACCGCCTGAACAATACTCTGAGATAATTCAACCACTCCAGTTGCTGGCCGCAGCCATCCACGACCGAGGGGAGGGCGTGGTATAATGGTCATCTTCATCAGTTCTTCAAGAAGACGAGGAGCAAGTTCAAGAACACGTCTGAAATCACGTTGCAATTTTGGAGATAATGCTGATATTTCACTAGTTAACTGAGCTTGAATCAACAATTCAGTCTTCACCAATGCAGGATGCTGCTTCCAAAACTTAGCTTGCTCTTGGCGGATGTTTTTAAGATCTAAATTAAGCTCACTCCTGACTAAAACAAACAATTTCTGAAGAGGCTCATCATCGATCCGGCGAACAGGAATATCCATGTACTCTGAAGCTTTAATGAAGACATCCATGACCTTGCTTGGAGCTAGAGATGGTTTCATTAAGTGGTAATACGCAGCTAATGTTGAAATGCATAATGTAGTTTCCATTATATTTTGCAGACCTTGATAAATAAATAACAGCAATCGTGAGGGGTAAAATTATACACACTCCAACTATTCCAAGCAACAGTATTCCACCGGATGCTCTTTTAATATTTAACAGGAACTGAGGGAGGGCAATACCCATTTGAAGTCCCTGCCTCCCATCTGGATGACCATATTTCTCAAAATTTTCACGCGAAATAGGATCTGTTAGAGCTTGATAAGCCTTTGAAATATACTCCACGAAATATGTATGGGCCTCTGGATCAGGATTTTTATCCGGATGGTATTGAATTGATAATCTCCTATATGCCTTTTTTATTTCTGATTCAGAAGCTCCAGCTTCCAGTTCAAGTATATTGAATGGCTCAAATATATCAATCTCGCTGCTAATACTTCTTATGTAGTACACCAGTACACCCATTACAATCCAGAGCAACACGATTGTCAAATTGCTATAAGTTGAGAAGTTTGATATCCTCTTGAAAATGGATCTCCTGTACTTCCCAGACTGAAAGCAAACTGAACATTGACAGTTGATGCTGGTAGACTTTTTGGTAAAAGATCGACTTAACTTCACAATTGTGTAAGGCACTAATGGCAGACCATTAGAGTCAAGATAAAGATCAGAAAAAGTGCACTATTTTCTTCAGATGCAGCCATGTTCTCTATAGAACTTCAAAACTATGTTCCGCTATTCATCACGATCACCAATAACACGGCCAGCAAATCACGAAACACCCATTTGTCCACAAGTATTCCTTCAGCTACGGAAAACTGGACAGCTCAATTCCTAATACTGCCTATAACTCAATCTTGCATGTCATTTGTCCAATATTATGCTTTCTAATTCTTGGGGGTTTGGTTATGGGCAACTCAAGTCCCATATTAGAAAAAACAAGGGGAAATTATTTAACCTCAGTAGTGTGAGGCATTCTCAGAAGTACTTAAAAACAAATCTGGTGGTGGACAGCCCATAAGTGGACGATATGTTACTAAAGTAGTGTTAAGGTGACGTTCAGGATTTTAACTAGTATTAGATAAAGATACCACATGTATGATTAGAGGGTGGTCTCTTTCCCGATGTATGATTATTACTCCGTATATTTTTCTTTCTAATTTGATGGTTTGGTGTCTTTATATGTATACCCACGCGATAGTTTTAGTTTTTTTACTCCAACTGCTGTCTATTTTGATGTTGGGGTGCCATACGGCCCATACGGGTCATACATTTACATTGAGAGTCCATATCTTTTAGTGACATGGGAGTAAAAATCCCCAGACACTACTGCATTATCCAAACGAAGTGCACACAAGCTAAATAACTGACAGAAATTTATGTAAGCTTACTCTTAGTAAAAATGATGTGAATATGTTCCGGTGTATCCAATTAATGTAACAGGTTGCTCTTGTACCGGGTGATGCCTTTGGGGACGACACCTGTATCCGAATCTCCTACGCAGCGTCACTGTCCACATTACAGTCAGCAGTTGAAAATATCCGGAAGGCATTGCTCTGCCTCAGACCTGCCTAATTCACTTCCATTTTTCTCAACATAACCCCATTTGTATTTTACTAGTATTTCTACAATTCTACCTGTGCGCTAAGTGTTTTAACTATATTATTGTATGCAGTACACTTGTATTAAAAAGAATTGTGACGTTAAATAAGCATAAATCTATCTAATTTACTATGTTGGCTGAGTGGGAATATGGTAAAGACAGTTTATATATTGCTTTTATGAAATGTTGTTCAAATAAAGAGTGCTTAATGTGAGGAATGTGAAATCTTCAATTTTCTTATGCTACCCTTTACTTTTGCAGTGATAAAATGTTTTACTCGGTTGTAAAATTGTACTGCGTTTTTAACTTAATTTGTTGCATTGTTGACCCTTATATAGTCATTAGATCTGAAATATTATTATTGTTTCTCACATTATGACTTCTTTTGTTTGATTCAAATTCTGCTTTTTTGTGCATGCATATATGATAAAAGGGGTGTTTGGAATTGATTCTGCTTCTGCTCCTTTTTAAAGTAGAATCAGAATCAGTTTTCAAAAGCTGGTCTCCCTCTGCTTCTAAAAAATTGATTCTAGGAATAAATTAGAACACCAGAATCACTTCTGCACTTTCATCCAAACACTTCAACTTCTGCTTCTACTCCTTGGAGCAGAAACAATTTTAAGATCCAAACACCCCATATTTCGTATATAGATAGGTATATAGTGCTGTCTCAAAGGTAGTGATGGACCCGGGCCGGGTCAGGCCCGGTCGGGCCTCGGGTCTGGTAAGGGTAGGCCCGGGACCGGCCCGGGCAATGGCCGGTTCCGGTTCGGGCCGGGCCACCCTGCCTGGTCACGGGTCGGGCCACCCGCCGGGCCGGGCCAGTATTTTTTTTAAATTAATTATATATTATATAAATTCCTATTAAAAACAAAGTTCAAGTGCATTTATATGAAATAGGAACTACATTTGAGAATTGAGAAAAAAATAACAATACGAAATACATTTTCTAATGAATATCAATTGGGATTTCCGCCACCGTTGGTTGTTCTTTTCCCTTTGTCACAGGACTTCATATGTTTTATTGGCATCCCGTATCTGTGTGAACGCCCCAAGCAACACTCTTTCTTGCACCACCTGCAAGTTGCCCACCACAGTCCCCATTAGTCCGGTCTTCGGGTCCTTCCACTTATCAAAATTGTTTTGCATAAGGGAAGATGTACTTTCCATATTTAAAATGGTATATGTATAAGTAGGATTGTAGGAATGTAGGATAATAAGAGAAGATGAAGATGGAGAAGAGTTGGAGAAGAATTGGAGAAGAGGTGTTGAAAAATGTTAGAAAATAGATGTATTTATAGATGTTTTTGAACCCCACTCCCCACACCACCACCCCCGGGACCCCCCTGCCCCCCACTCATAGCCCCAACGGCTATATAGCCGTTTGGGAGGTTTGATTTCAATTTTTTTTTAAAGTTATACATATTGTAAAATAAATTAATTAATTTAATGAATTAAGTAAAACTAAAACTATTTGTACTTAGAAAAGTGGTTTGATTTATAATTTACAAATGTTACAAAATAGGAGTATAAGTATTTAAACAAATTACATATTGTAAATGTATTTTTAATTTAAAAACCGGCTTTATATTTTAGAAAAATAATTTTAAGTCGTTAGTTTGTAACCAATTAATTAATTTGAGAAGTGCTACATATGAAAAAGTGAACACATATTTATTTGAAATATGAAGTACAAGTTTACAAATTAATTTGAAGTACAACTACAAATTTACAATTTTGAAATATGAAGTACAAGTTTACAATTTTGAAATATGAAGTACAAGTATAAATAAATTTGACAAGTGCTACAAAATACATTTTATAATAAATTCTAAAATACTAATCAATCGGAATCTCCGGCATAGGTAGAGCCACCATCAGTTGTTGAGTCATCCATAAAATCTTGGGAGGGGGTGATGCTCATTTCTTGAGTTCTACGTGCGGCCTTCAACCAATCGTGGTAGCATATAAGCGTTTCAAAAGACTCCGCGCTCAATCTCGATCTAGATGCCGTTAGGACGTTGCCGGCCGAACTAAATTCTTGTTCCATAGCAACTATTGAAATCGGCATTGATAGTACTTGCTTAGCCATCCGTGCTAAAATCGGGAACGTTCTTTCTTTTGACTTCCACCAGTCTAGAACGTCAAAGTCATCATTTTCTTCAAAATCAACTTCATATGTTAAATACAAAGTAATCTCATTCAATGCACTTTGTTCAGTGACGTGAGTTGTTTTTGTTTTTTTCATAAGATTGCCAAATGCAGATTTAAAAATCGATTTTCCTTTAGATGAAGAAGTTCATGACGGGGGAGGGGGAGCGTTGCTATATTGTGCACGAAACTCATTAAATAAGGCATAAAATAAAGTACTAACCTCGTTGTATTCCGTTTTCGGATCTATGGGGTTATCGTCATACATTGGAAATTCACCAAAAAACGCGAGATAATAGAAGTTGAAACAATCTTCCAAATTAGCAAGTCTATAACGAGGATCGAGAATAAATGCAATACCATAAAAACTTTTCCTTCATATAATCACAAAAATAATGAACGAAAATGGCATTCTCAAATTCTTTAAAAGCACTGGCGAGATTAACAGTTTCACGAATAAATTGGTTTGCGGTAGGTTTATAAACATGACTAAAAGTTTCAGTAGCATTAAAAAAAAAATATCAAAACATTACAATTTTTTTCGCAAGTGTCGATCTCAGCCGCGTTTATAATATAGTTATCATGTTCTTTTAAAAAAGCAGGAAAATGTTCTTTATATCTAAGAACAACTTTAAGTAATTTATATGTACTATTCCAACGAATACTCAAATCTTTAGGAAAAGCAACATATCTCACACCTCTTTCAGTCAAATAAGTTTGCCATTTTAATCTAAGTTGACCATTACCCCAAATACGTCTAATCCCCCCTTGATTACCTCCATGGAATCTCCTAACGCTTTTAAACCGTCTTGCACACATAAATTTATGACATGGCATGCACACCGTTGATGAAAAAATCTACCCATCAAAGTATTGGCACCACACAACTCACGCAATCTAGGTATAGCAGCAGTATTATTAGTAGCATTATCGAAATCAATAGCAAACACCTTATCAATCAAATTATACTCAATTAAAATACGCTCAATCAAAATATAAATATGTTCAGCGGTGTGACGATCATTAAATTCACGAAAAGCAAGAACACGTTTATGCATATTCCAATCCTCATCAATATAATGTGCAGTCAGACCCAAATAATATAAATGATGAAAATCATCCTCCCATATGTCAGAACAAATAGTTACACGCCCATCAAAGTTTGCAAAAAAAATTTGTAACCTTGCCTTTTCCGCATTATAAAGCCTTATTATTTCTTTCTTAACAGTTTTGCGACTATAATTTCTAAATTGAGGATTTAAACTACCTTGTGCATAATCTCTTAAAGCAAGACTTTCAGAAAACAAATAAGGCAAATTTTCTTCACAAATTAAGTTAGCCATACCAGTCAAATTTTGTGCATCATTGTCGGAGAAATTACCAAAAGGTTGAGAATTCGCAAACCTCGATATTTGAGTTTGCTTCCCCGTTCCGCCGCCTAATTTTGCATACTCCACGGGGTGCTTTGCCTTAAGATGCCTTGCGGCGGATCCGTATCCGCCGGAGGTTCCCAAACTATAATTGTTGTTGCACCACTTGCAAGTTGCGTGCCAATAGCCGATTTGTGGGTCCTTCCATTTATCAAAATTATTTTTCATTAGTTCAGACTTACTTTTTTTATTACCGGTGGCGGTTTGGGATGAGGCAGGCTCGTCCGCGTCGTGGCTGCCGGCACCCTCCTCCTCGGCCGTCTCCGGTTCCAATTCCTCCGCATCTTCATCCTCAAGCTCCTCTCCGTCAATGGTCGCCGGCATTTGTTGTTGTTGTAGAAAGCGGTTATTATGTCGGGCCAATTCTTGTTGGAGTTGTTCTTCGGACATCGCATCCCCATCTCGCCTTTGGTAACCCGTTTCAAAATCATCTCGGCTTTGAGATGAAGAACCGGCAAGTTCTTTACCTTTGCGCGATTTCTTCCTCCCAATCTCGTTCCTTCGATTGCGTTGGAGGTTACCCAAATCAACCCAATATCTATCACCTTCCATCTTAAAAATGTAACAAATATTAATTGACAACAAATATAATAATGGATACAAAACTAATGCAACTAATTAAAACTATTTTAATTAATACTTCAAACTAATTTAGTGCAAAGTAGAATTAATGTGTGACTTTAAAATTAAAATTATACCAACTTTTGAAGTACTTTAATTTAGTAAAAACTACTTAAATAAAATGTTAAGTACTTTAATTAAATGATTGAACTACTATTTCTTCCTACAAATATAAATTGAAAATAAGAAAATGTGACTTTAACTATAATGAATTAATGACAATTAACTAGTTTATTGAAGTAGAGTTGTTTTAACAATTAATGAGAATACTAATGAAGTAAATAACTAGTATAATGAAAAATGTAACAACAATGCTAATTAACTAATTAACTAGTATAATGACAAATATAACAAGAATGCTAATAAACTAATTAACTAGTATAATGAAAAATGTAACAATAATGGTAATGAACTAATTAACTATTATAATGAAAAATGTAACAAGAATGCTAATTAACTAATTAACTAGTACAATACTAGTTATAGTAAGTAATATATAATATAATGTTTATAGTATATAATATATAAGTATACTACTATAAGATGAGTAATACACTTATATTTTATACTTTAATATATAAAGTATATATTAAGTAGATGTAGAATGTATGTATTAAGTGGATATAATAATTGTATAAGAATTAAATATTAGAGTATAAATGTATAATGGAGAATTGGAGATTGGAAAATAAGAAAATAAGTATATATAAAATAGATATTATAAAGTATATATAAAAGCAGATATTATAAAATAAGTATACATAAAATAGATATTATTAAGTAGAGAAGTAGATATTATTATGTATTAAGTATATAGTAATAGTTTATAAAGTATATTTAATACTTTATTATATAAAGTATATATTAAGTAGATGTAGTATGTATGTATGTATTAAGAGATATAAGTAGAGATTAAGTAGATAAGAAATATAACTATATAAGTAATATAGTATATGTATTTATAAGTAGATAATTAATATATAAGTAGATATAATAATTGTATAAGTATTAAATAGTAAAATAAAATATAAAGGAGAATAATAG